CTGCAGCCGTAGAGGCAAGGGGACCTTTGCTGGGGACCATGCAAGGTGCCCGGTTGCCAGGGCAACTGGGGAGCTTGGGGACCCCAGAAGCTGGGGTTTGGGGACCAGCCTCGTGGAGCCCCCAAAGAGGCTGTCCCCAAGAACCCTTGCCATCAGCCTGAGTCCAAGTTACTCATCAGCATTTAAAGAGGAGGAAGTTTGGGGCGCCTGGGTGGCGCTCAGTCGGTTAAGCATTGGACTTCGGCTCAGGTCATGATCTCCCGGTTCGTGGGTTTGAGCCCCGCGTCGGGCTCTGTGCTGAGAGCTCAGAGCCTGGAGCCTGCTTCAGATTCTGTGTTTCCGTCTCTCTCTCTGACCCTCCCCTACTCATGCTCTGTCTCCCTCTCTCTCGAAACTAAATAAAAAACAATGAAAAAACTTTTTAGGAGGAGGAAATGTGCCTTGAGCGGGGAGGGGGGAGGGCGCCCCCAGCCTGGCCCTGCCCACCACCCATCCTTCTGTCCATCCGGGGCCAGCTCCTGATTGTCAGGTCAGCAGGCCACCACAGACCAGGCCTTTGAGGGAGTGTAACTGGTGACAGCTGAGGAGGAGGGGGGCCTGGTCCCGAAGGGGGTGCAGGGCAGGGCCGGCTGAAGGTCCAGTCCAAGAGCGACACCACCAACCACAGCGCCCAATGTCTGCGGGCACTTGCTGGGTGCCGGGCTTTGCACACACTCCTCACGTTTAGACCCCGCAACGCCTCACCTGACGCGTAAGGGAAGAGCTGGGCAGGGAACTTACTCAGGTCAGCAGCCAGGACGCGGCGGCCGGCCGGGGCAGGGATTTCAACCTTGGCCTAGGACCCTCCTGGCCGGGCCTGGCCGCCACCCTGATCCACTGTGGCTGCTGCAGTCACAGCCTCAGAGCAGAGTCCAGAGAGGGGAAGGCCTTCTTTAGAGGGCGCAGCCCGTCGGGGATGGCGGGGCCCGGCGCCCACACCTTTCCACGGAGCGGGTGGTTGGTTGGGGCTCCTGCCGCGGGGCCCTGAGGTCAGCTCCAGGACCCAGGCCTGAGAAGCACCACGCCAGCTGCATCAGACAGCCGTGTGGCCCAGTCCAGGGCCCAGGCACTCCCCTGGCACCTTGTCAGACCACACGACCGTGGCAGTCATGACCTGCCTGGCTCTGACACTGCATCGGGCACCGTGGGGACTGCTTACCAGGCCGCCTCTCTCAGTCTCCACCTGAACCCTAGGGGAGGAACCGGTATCAGGTCCATTTTCCAGATGGGCAACCAAGGCTCAGGGATGGGGAGCAGGTCTAGGGTTTCGAGGGGTCGAGCTGGCACTGCCCCGCAGCTCTCTTCCCTAGAGACCCAGCTCTGGACCAGCACGCACGACGCCGTCCCCCGGTTCAAAAGGACATTCTGCCTCCAGGTGTGACTGGCCAACCAACAGTTCCCCAGGGCGGAGAGGGAAATGCCGAGGCAACACCCACGCCCGAGAGCTCCCCAAACGCGGGCCCTTGAGCCTTATGTCCCGGCCCCGCTCACCAACCAGTCTCCCAGCCATTCATCTGCTCGCTCCCAGCCAGGGGATGCGGGCCCGGGACAGCTCAAAGTTCTGCTGCTCCTGCCCGAGGCTGCAGATTTCTACTCCCATCCCCTGAGAAGCAGAGTGGGGAGTCGCTTCGCTAGAGCTGTGTGTCCAGGAACACGGCGTCTCAGAGCCCGGGAGGCCAGAAGCCCGAGCCCGGGACAGGGTGGCCACAGCATGGTACTGAGCCATGGGAGCTATCCGGGTGGCCGGTCAGCAGCCCCGGGAGCCAGTCCTCGACTGCCTGGGGCCAGCGCGGGATGACTCCAACCCCTTCTAGCAGCCGTGAAGGCTGGGCCTAGAAACACACGTCTGACTCCTAGGTTGAGGACGGAACGGAGCCCCGCCGGTGAGCAGTCTCACCTCGGCTGCCCCAGGGAGGCAGCTTGGCAGAAGGCACGAGGACCTGGTACCAGCCAGCCTGGGCCCCCCCTTCCTCCTCTCCTGGGGTTCATGGGGGCCCAGCAGGTGGCAGTCAGTCCCCTCCTGAACTTGATTCAGCCAACAGCCTGGAGCCTGCTCCCTCTGAGTTAGCTAAGGAGCCCTCCTCAAAGATTGCAGTGTGCAGATAGAGACTCCCTCCCACCCAAGGCTATGCCTCTAGGGCCTCCGGTGTCAAAGGCAAATGAGCCCTGGGGGTGAAGCTGAAGAGCTGCACAAAGCTGATCAGGAGACCAGACAACCGGGAAGGAGGCAGGAGACTGGGGGTGGGGAGACTCTCCTATTTATTTCTACCAGAAGAACAGAGAAGCCCTCCTCATTCCGTTCCATCCAGACTGTGCTCAGGTCTTACCGTCACATGGTGTGGGTCAGAATTCCATCTCTGCCACTCACTAACTTGGGGCGTTTGTGCAGTCTAACTTCTAGGACCTCAGCTGTTTCATCTGTGAAATGGGCAATCGATGATCCTGGCAGCAAAGAGAAATGCTGCCTGTGTGTTACTTAGCACAGGGCCTCCCACAAAGCGCTGGCTGGCTCGTATGAGCTATGACTTTAAACCTTTGGGGTCCAGCTGTGGGCT